AGTGAGATTTTTGTTTTTTCCTTTCCAAACAGCTCTTGAGGTATTGGTGGGGCCAAGGGGGGTGTTTTTAAATACATTGGCTGTGAAGTTAATGGAGAGAGCGCACGCTTCATCCCAGAAAAGATACGAAGCTGGGTATTGCCTTACGCCGTTGGCATTTTGGATCATGCAGGCTTTCCGTAGGGCTGTTAAATCTATGAATGCAAAAATGTAACAACTGTAATATTTCATTATTTGATTAATGATATTTAATCAAATAAAGAAGTCTTCTTGTTCACAGGTCATATTCTAGCACTTTATACATGGGGTGGCTGGATGATTGCATCTGGGTCCCAAGACAAGACCGTAAGATTCTGGGATCTGAGAGTGCCAAGCTGTGTTCGTGTTGTGGGAACAACGTTTCATGGAACAGGTAAGACTTGCTGCCATGCTTCTGATTGTTCTGGCATAAAAATGTATTTGAGAGATGTCTGATTTAGTGGAGAGTGAACGTAATGGGGTTTTGCATCACAGAATGGAGGCTTGGCTTTCCAAGAAAGAAGTTACGAGGATATCTTTACATGTGTGGTTTGGGTGGGGTTTTTGTTTTTCTTTTTTAAAGTAACATTTCCTTTCAAAAGTTGACTTGTTTTTTGCCTTGTGACTGTCCAGCAGACTGCTTCCAAGTACGCTGAAGTAAAACAAGACACAAGGTAACTGTCTCAGAATCGAAGGGGTGGGAAGGAGCAGCCATTTTTGCAAGTTGTCAACATGCTCTATAGAAATTTGCAGAAGGATTCTTAAGAACCACTTGGGTTTGGGGTCGTTTCTTGAAACCTTTGGGGGTTTCAATTAGAACTGTGGGGGATTCTTTGCAGCGTTCTACATTATTTCATCAAGAGTGACTCTCTCCTGTGATGAAACAGATACTTCTCACACAGTTTTAGTAGTGGCTTTACTACCATTCCAGTGTGACCTATGGCTTCACAGTTCTGAGTGCTAAAACGTAAAAATGTTCTTACTTTAAGGTTCACGGTACATTTCAGGCCAGCATTTGGTATTCCGATACAATGTATATTCTTGTTTAAAAAAAAAAAAAAAAAGTTGGCTATTTGCACAAATATACATAAATGTAATGTGTTTGTTGGGGTGTTTTTTCTCCTGTAGGAAGTGCTGTAGCCTCGGTAGCTGTTGATCCTAGTGGTCGTCTCCTGGCTACAGGACAAGAGGACTCCAGCTGTATGTTGTACGACATCAGAGGAGGACGGATGGTGCAGAGCTATCATCCTCATTCCAGCGATGTCCGCTCTGTCCGCTTCTCTCCAGGGGCACACTACTTGCTCACAGGATCTTATGATATGAAAATAAAGGTGACAGACTTGCAAGGTAACATGCTACAAGGGACGCTGGGTTAACTTTCAGTTTGGCGCTTTTAATACTGAAGTTCGAAGAGAACTTGGCCTTAAAAGTCTGGCTTTAGTTTAAAAGGGGGGAAAAAATAGTAGAGCTTTGAGGGGTTTGAAGTGTGATTGTGTCTGTTCCCAACTGGCTAGCTGTGTTGCTAAGAATGTAGGCTGTGAACTAAATCTTGGGGGGTTTTTTTGGCGGGGGGGGGGCTGTTTATGATAGAACTAATTAACATTGCTACCTGATGAGATGGCTGTTGCTTTCAGGCAGCAGTCATAAAATTGATCCTTTTTTAAAAAAAAAAAAAAAAACAGAAAAACACTGGTTATAAAATAAGGAAGAATTGGGAAGAGTTAAGAAGAGAGAAGATATGGAGTACATCTAATCAGCTTGATTTTCTTGGGCTGTTAAATTTTAATCACATTGTTTTAAAATACCAGTATTCACTGTTTTTAAGTTGTACTGTGTCCAGTAACGCCTAAAAACCAAAACCGTGTGTGTGTGAGGGTTGGGGGGGGCTGTCAAGTATTCTTCATAAGATGAAATACATGTGTAAGCTTTACTAAACAAACGGGAGGGAGGAAGAAGAAACACCCCAAAACCCAAAAGAGCTGGGCTACCAACTGAAGAGATGACTAATGGTTTCTGTTCCTCTGCCGTAGGGGACCTGACGAAGCAGCTTCCTCTCATGGTGGTAGGAGAGCACAAGGACAAGGTTATTCAGTGCAGGTGGCATACGCAGGATCTTTCCTTCTTGTCATCATCTGCGGACAGAACTGTGACGCTTTGGACCTACAACGGTTAGAGCGCAGGCACAGGCAACCTATGCAGCTACAGCACAGAGACCGGAGACTACAGAACTGTAAAAACAAAGTAATAATAATTGGGCATGGAGAGCGCAGCGGTTGAGTGGGAGAGTTGTCTTACGAGGAGGAGGGGCACTTGTCACGGATTTTTCTGGTTTCTAGGAGGTCTTGGTGTTCTTAGTATATTCCTTTGCAGTGCTTTCAGTCTTCCATGTGAACTCATGCTGCTGTGACCTATTGTAGTCTTGTTGCCAAAGTCTATGAGGAGAACTCTTACGTTGTCGATGTGCACTCCAGGTAACATGAATGACGTGTTTACAGTTTGGTATTAATTGCATTCCTTGGGTTTTGCCTCAATGAGAATTTTATAGAGAAACTTAAGTTGAACATCACTTTAATCGAGTCTGTATGTAATTAGTTATACACACACACACACAAGAAATTACTTCTGCTGTTTTTTTGGATTTATTATATTCATTGCTTCTCAACAAGAGGTCGAACTGTGTAACATCACAATTTCAACTTTTTTAGTAATAATTGCTGACCTTTAACGGTGACTAGGCAGTAACCACATCTGGATTATGGTCCATTATATAGTGTGGGGGTTTTTCTTTCTTTTCATCTAAACTGGGGGAAATGTTGCTCTTTACTAAGTGACATTGTTTTGAACAAGCTAACATGTTGGAGGGGGGAAAAAGTAAAATACTGATTTTTCTGAATTTTTTTTTTTTCCCCCCTGCTATAGAAACAGACAATATTTTCCTTTTTGAATGCAACAGAATACCTCTGTGTATAATGTACTGTAGAAAAGAGTGGATTGGCAGCAGTTGTCACAGTGAGCTTAATGGCTATCAGTTTTTCAAGTAAAAGGGATACCATTAATGCTATACTAGAAACCAGCATGGCTTAAAACGCTATGTCTGCATGATAATTTAAGAATTAAATTGTTTAAATTCCCAGTTCAGAAGCTTATCTAAATTTTATTTCTTGCACTGTTTATGTATGAGAAATTGCAGTTTTATTTCTACAGAAGTTTAGATTCTAATGTTTATGTATTGTTATATTTTTCATATTGTACAGTTCCTTTTACTTTTTAAAATATAAACCCTAAACGTTAGGTTATTTATTTATTTGAACTGCGGTTAAGTTTTGGATTCTCTTGGTTACTAAATTATATGTGCACTGTAGCAAGCATTTTTAACTATCGTATAAAAGTGGAAAGGTAACTATAGAAGTGTATCTGTGCTATAATCTCAATAAAGACCTCCAACACCTGCAGCTATCTATCTCGGCTGTTATTTTGGAGCCTCGGTTTATAATTCCTCAGAGCAACTCTGATACTTAAACCGTATGTCAAAAGCTGTCCTATGCTTAGAACTATAAAAGACTTCAGAACTTTAATCTTTTACCTGACTTCGCAGTGTGGTAAGCAATAATGCAGTAGCCCAGAGCTGAACGTCTGTCCCTTTTCCTGTATCACGGACACAGGTTAAGGGAGATTCCTTTCCTTCCCATCAGACAGGAGTTGCCTCCAGAGGCTGAGGGCTTGTGCCCCTTTTCCAGTCGCTTTGTCACTGTCTCGTTTATGGGTTCTGCCTCTTTCTCCTCCTGTTCTTGTGATGGCCCTGGTTCATCTTCATCCCTTACTAGATGAACTTGTACTACTTCTTGTGCATAGGGGCCTAAGGATATTCAAAATTCTCAAGAGCTATTATGTAACCAGCCTGGAAGAGAAGGGGAAGGTGGAAGAGCAGGGGAAAGTGTCCCACTTGTCTCCCCCCTGGATTGGTTTTCCAAGGAGAAACAGTAGAGCGTAATGATTAGTAATTTCTGAGAGGTGGCTCCTGAGTACAGAGATGTTGGCAAGGCCAGGTACAAATACCAGATTAATCTCTCAACCAATGATTTTATCATCTCATAAGCCAGCATTACCCAGTGCAGCAAAATTACAACCTTGCCCCAGGTCCCAGTGGCGATAACAGCACAACAGGGAACATAGGCAGCGGGTGAGGTGTTACGCAGCACAGCTCCCGAGAACAAGCAGGACAACTTTGAGAGCAAATAAATCAACATTGTGAGCAGTGACTGTTAAACCAATATACTGAATGCTTATCACAAATCTGCCTTAACATGCTCTGTTGTTATCAAGAACCCTTCGAGCCCCGTGTTGGTTGCCAGAAGGACTGGTGTGGTTTAACCTGACAGGCAGCTGAGCACCACCCCCGCGCCCCCGTGGGATGGAGGAGCAAATCAAAGAGAGAGAAAAAAAAAAGTAGAATTTGTGGGTTGAGACAAAGACAGTTTAATAGGACAGAAAAGGAAGGGAAAATAACAAAATCAAGTGATGCACAATGCAATTGCTCCCCGCTCATTGACTGCTGCCCAGCCAGTTCATAGAATCATAGAATGTTCCTGAGCAACAGTTGCCACCCCCCCACCAGCCAGTTTCTATACTGAGCATGACATCATACAGTATGGAATAAGCCTTTGGCCAGTTTGGGTCAGTTGTCCTGGCTGTGCCCCCTCCCAACTTCTCGCTGGCAGAGCGTGGGAAGCTGAAAAATCCCTTGACTGGTGCAAGCACTACTTAGCACCAACTAAACCATCAGTGTAATCAAGTGATGCACAATGCAATTGCTCACCGCTCATTGACTGCTGCCCAGCCAGTTCATAGAATCATAGAATGTTCCTGAGCAACAGTTGCCACCCCCCCACCAGCCAGTTTCTATACTGAGCATGACATCATACAGTATGGAATAAGCCTTTGGCCAGTTTGGGTCAGTTGTCCTGGCTGTGCCCCCTCCCAACTTCTCGCTGGCAGAGCGGGGGAAGCTGAAAAATCCCTTGACTGGTGCAAGCACTACTTAGCACCAACTAAACCATCAGTGTGTTATCATCAACATTCTTCTCATACTAAACCCAAAACACAGCACTATGCCAGCTACTAGGAAGAAAATTTAACTCTAATCCATCGAAAACCAGGACAGCTGGGATAGGCCTGGATGCACAACTCACTGCAGGAGACCTTCACTGCCGCAGGGCCTCTCTCTCTGCCCCTTCAAGTGGTCGCTGGAGCCCCAAACCCCCTCAAGAGTCCTCCAAAACCTGCTTACAGACCCCCAAAACCTCTCATAAAGCCTCAAAGCCCCTCACTAAGCCCCCAAATCTGTTCACAGACCCCAAGATTCCCTCAGGGACCCCCAAAAAACCCTCGACACCTCCCGAGCTCCTCCAGGTCCAGCCCCTTGTGCAGCACCTCTGTGGAAATACCGCCCCATCCCACACTCACCTGCTCCCCTGCCACATCATCACCCCCCCCCATGATGCTGGGTGCCCCAAATGACATCATCACACCCCACACACACTCCTCCCTTTTTATTCACCCTAAAAAAAGGCACAAAATGAGGGAAACAGCCCCGAATGGCAGCTCATTACTTTAATAATGCCATTTATATATGTACATACCCTCCTCAAAAAGGGGGCCTCTGCTAGAAAAATAAATGGGAGCCAGCCCCCCAAAGAGGTTGCAGCCCCCTCGGGTCCTGCAGGGTGGTGGCTGCCCCACAGAGAGGGTGTGTGTGACAGAGGATGGTGCCACATCCCTGCTCCCAGCTGCTCCCCCTCCATTCCCACCCGGGGACGGGCTCCCCAGGGCACCAAATGTTGCCCCCCCCACCTCCCCAGACAGCCCTCACCGCACCTGCAGGGCGCCCGCCGGAGACAGGGCTGGCCCTTTACCGCCTGTGTGCTTACCAACCGGCAGGCAAACCTGGGCTGGGGGTACCTGCTGAGCATCACGAGAGGCTTACAACAAGACATCTGAAAACCAAAAATCCCAAATTATATTTCAGCATATTGAAAAAGTATCACAGAAGAAAGTAGAGGAATTCAGTCAAAGTAAGGCATAGGGCAGGAGTTGAGCTAAAGGGAGGATTCTAGGTAAACAGCTCAGTTCGAAATACAACACATCCTTTAAAAGCTAGAGTGATTTCAACGCTTAAAATCAGTATTAAGACTATCTGATACGATTCTGAACACATTCTTAGCATAAAAGTAAACATGCTGGTGCTGGAAAACGCCTCATCCCTTCCTTACGGCACTGCTGCAGGGAGACAACCCTGCGAGGGGGCGCCCTGTGAGCCTGCCGGACTGGGCTGTACCCTAATCAGAATCTACACTTTACAGATCCACCACAACAGCCACAGCCCTTGTGCTGCTGCTTGGCCAATAAGCTGAAAGCGATGTGTAAAACTTTAAAGAGTAAAATGAAAAATACAAACCAAGTTTCAGTAATTCACTTTATGCCAGAAAGGTGTGCATATGTTTATAAACATCCATTTATACTATAAAAGTATTCGATTTTCCTTTTGCATTCATTTAACTTGCATAGCTGTGAATTGATACCATTAAATTCTCTACCTATCTATCTCCAAAATGCACCGTTACAAGTTGCCTGGGGGTCACACAGTTAGAAGGGACTGCGCTGCCCAAGAGAGATGCTACTGAACTGCCCAGGGAACGCGCCAGTGAAAGTGAGACAGAAACAAAGGACTTCAGAGCACTCTGTCAAAATATTGGGGAAAAAAAACCCTGTAACGTTCACTTCCCTCTCTTTTTAAACATTTACAACAAACACCTAACTGCTTCAACACACCTAACAAACTGCGTGCTACAGCTGTTTGGCAGTTACAGTTTCAATGATGCAAGTCAGTTTGTAAATTATACAATGTTAACTTTTTTTTTAAAGTCTCATTTATGACAGAAAAATTCATGAGATAAGAGATGCCCCATATGGTTTTACTTTTTGGGGGGCAGGGGGAGAGGGGGAATCCCCAGCGCTGCAATACATACAGCTACCGAAAAGGACTGGCAGATTTGCTGATGCTTTGGCTGTACTGAAGCACGCAGAGGAACACGTTTTTATGATCTCTCAACTGTTACAACTAAGAACCAAAGACCAGCGATGCCATCAGCTTTTGGAAGATGCGCTGTGCTTGGCTCTTTGGGAGGAAATTGACTTTTTTTTTTTTTTTAAAAAGAGCGAAAAAAAAAAGAGGTTTTAAAAAAAGAGTGAAAAGTCCTGTTGCTGCTGATTTCTACTGCCAAGTACATAATCTCTGAAGATCCGCTCTGGTGGGAAGTTCATAAAATGCAATTTCTTTGAATGAGAAAGATTTCCATTCTGGAAAATCTCTTTCTGACTGGAGTCCAAAATTATACACTGTAAGTTAAGGAAAAAGGACATTATTGAAGCAGTAACTCACCAAAGCCACATCACGACTCACTGTTGCTGGTTACATGGCTGCTAATATTTCTTGGGAAAGCCTGGAAAACATGCAGAAGCAACACCAATTTGTTCTGTTTTGTCGACGTCTCTTCTTTGGCCTTGATTGCTTTTAGTACAGGTAGTAGCACCTCAGTAAGGTTTTTGAGTATGACTGTAAGCTATTTAAAAAACTTACTAACTGAAAAAGCATAAAGTTTTTATCACGAAAACAAAGCCTGTTTCTTCTGAACATCTGCTCTCTTACGAACAGTTCCTTGCTTCTTTTAGTACAAAATTGTTTTCACAGTATCATTTAATAATACGTGCCCAGAAACAGAAGATTATGCTTTCAGGAACAGAAAATAAACAGAGGGGAGTAAGCTTTACTTAGGTGTAACATGCTCCAGAGCAGAACTTATTTTATTGTCAGTATTTGTGTTAAAATATTCCATAGAAAAAACTATAGAAGGAGAGTTGGCACAGTCTTACACTTTAGAGTCCATACTACAAGTACCTTAAGGAAAAATGCAGACACCCATCATAGACGTACCTTGTACTCACAGACCACTGTGGATCCTTTCCACCTGGCTTGTACTTCCATGGCAGAAGAAAGGGTGACCACGGTGAAATGGTGGCAGTTGACATTCTGCTGAGAGAGGAAAAAAAGGTCTAGCGTAAAGCTGGGTAGGAATCTAAAGCTTCCTTTTTTTTGTGAAGACTACAACTGAGTGGAGGAAAAAGTAATTTGCATCATCTCTGGTATGGTTGTTGATATAGGCCACTAGAGCTTTTGCATTTTTTAGGCAACCATGCCTTTTTTTTGACTCACCGGCAGCTTTAGTTTCTCTAGAACTCACTTTCCTAGATACACGCAGGTGACAGACATAGATACCTACACACACATTTTCTCAAGCCTACATATAGCGAAGATTTCCTCACCCTATACATCCCAAGTTGAATATTTTTGTTAAAGAGTACAGCAACACATCTGTCCTTGTGAACTGCCTCGCTGCAAAAAGAAATTATTTTTTTCAGGCCGTTTCTCCTAACAATCAACACCTTTTAAATCTGCAGTTGTGCCACCAAACCTGCTTAGGTTTCCTCCCAGCTCTTGACTGTCCTTATATTTAACAGGCATATGCTCTATTCCATCTTCCAACAGCAAAAACACGTAATGCTCTCCGAGCCAGAGCACAACCCTACGGATGTCCCCGCAGCCCTTGTTGTTCTGCTGAGGAGCCACTGAGCATCCCTGCAAGCACAGCTGCACACACAAGATCAGTTTCACCTACACTGATTTCAGTGAACGTAGTTTCTGAAGCTTTAAACTGAAAACCCTACCTTGACACTTCACCACAGTGGAAATAACCCGTAACTAGAACTCTACAAAAATGCAGTAACACAAATTGCAAACCCACAGCAGCAACAGCTTCAGAAATATTTGGATCAGGAACAAGGGAGAAAAATAAAACAGCTTCATCTCATGCACAGGAAGGCAGCAGAGAGAGAAAAGGGTCAGCATCCATAGCCCTTACAGAAAATAGGCATTCTCTTTCTATTATAAACCCATCTGTTAGGTCTAAATATTGCAACATTACTATAGCAACACTGGGAGCAGGGAACCACACTGGACACACTAGTGACTGATGTTATTTACGTAGCGAGACACAGACGGAGGAACACGTTTTTCCACACACAACCCCGAATTTCCTGAACATTTATGTTTACCAAAAATAGCCATTTGGAACATATTGCCAAACAACACTGGGCAATGAAACTTTGATGTGTTTGACACACACAAATTTTCTGGAAACCTGCTATTTGCTTCCTGCTGTTGTTCTTCCTTCAGAAATTCTACTTGTAGCCAAGTTGTTCACTACTAAGCCCAAAAATGCAGCTGCTGAGCCTCCTCCCAAGTCCCAGAAACGCAGGGCTTGACCTCTGTTTCTGAACCCAAAGCCACACAACTCAGTCTGCTTCCGAGCCCCAAAATCAGCCACATGAGCCTGTCTTCAAGCCTCAGGAACAGAAGACTTGGTCTCCATTTCTGGTCTCCAAACCAGCTCACCCCGTCTGCTTTCTGACACCCTTTGCAGTCCCCAAATGCAATGCTGGGGGGTTAGGGGGAGCGTAGCCACCCCACAGCCCTGCACCCCCAGGGTCCCACATGCAGTTTTGGGGAACGCTTGGGAACTGTGGAGGGCCTGGCCCCGTGCCTCTGTGAGGCAGCAGCAGCACAGGCAGGGCATTGCTTTGTTACTGCTGTTTTAGGCTTTATTTCTCTGGCATCACCAGCACTGCTGGGCCCACGCCCCAAAGCCCCCTAAGGCTGAAGCACCCCCGCGGGGAGCCAGGCCCAAAACCCTCCAACAAACCCCAGGACAGCTCCCAGCCCAGGGCCGCTTCTGCCCATATTTAATTCAGCAATGGGGAACAGGACAGAAGGGTAGAGAGAAAAATAAGGCAGGGGAGAAAGACTGAGGAGCAGAGAGAGAAAGAAAGGTTGAAAGACAAGGTCCGAGAGGTAGTTACCAAGGACAACAGGGACGAGGAGCCCTGCAGAGAGATGGAGCAAGAAAATGTGGGGTCAGTGAGCAAGACAGAGGGATAGCGAGATGGGGAAAGAAGGAGAGGAAGAGGAAAGGAGGGACAAGGGCAGTGACAGGGCACAGGGCGCACAGAGAGAGAGAAAGGACAGGGAACGGGACAGAGGATGAAAAAGGAGAGGGAGAGGGAGCAGGACACAAGAACAGAGAGAACAGGAGAAGTGCGGGGGAGCAGAAAAAAAAAAGTCACAGCAGCGTGGGAGAGAGCGGGGGCCAGGAGCGGGGCAGGGAGGGCCTGGGCCGCAGGAGAGGGCGACAGGGCCCCGAGGGCTCGGGACTCACCGCAGCTGCCGCTCCCGGCCGCGCCCG